ATTTTACAAGTCTAGCGTAATTATTGATATTCATATCAAAGGTAGAGCTACACACGGACGAATTTTTCTCAACTGTTTTTATTTTTACTTCTTGTCTTGAATTCAACAAAACGACGAAATGCGACGGAACGTTTCTAATTCATGCTTCGGTAGGTGTCATACAATTTAGGTATTTTCATATTCTTTTTACCCAAGTGTACAGTAACATCAGTTTTACCAGCCAAATAACTCTGTATGTCACACAGGCACGTCCTTTGCAATATTGTATATGTAAATAAGAATTTTTTATTATAAATACATGTTTTACTGATTATTTATATGTATTAACGTGCATTTATATAAGTAGTTATTGCTGCATTATTATAAATACTACTTTCATTCTTTTACACTTTTTCTCACACCGAAACTGCCCATGAATTTATTTATCTACACTCTCTTTGTCCATCCTACGGTTGCCTGTTGAAAATTGCATTTTAGCGATAAGGCCACCATTAGTACATGGTCAATAACTTGATTTACTATTGTATTTATATATGATGTACTAAACTGGTTTACGATTAAGCTTATTCTATTCTATGATGGAATAGACCACACCTATATACCATCTTTCTAAACAGATATTTTTTTTAATTATTATAGTCAGCGAAAAATAATACAGATTATGATACTAGCCAATATGTGTTTATGCAGCTATGTATGTATTCGCATCATCTTGTCCAGATGACATTTCGCAGAAGTGAGTTGAAAAAATATGTACTTTTAGAAGCCTCTTGATCGTCCGCTGTCACGCGAAATGCTTTGCGACGCTCTATAGAGAACATAAAATTATATATTTTTTTTAATGATGCTGTATTCGGTATTAGCGGTAGGGCCTAATTACCACACTTCAAACATGTATCTATTAACTATTATTTGCTGCTAATTGTGTACATCATCCGACTACGGCATAAATAAATGTTGTCTAAATAACCCTCATTGCACGGTGGCATACGACTAACAGTTACACTCCGAATAGCATTGTTATGGCTACGTATTAAAATAAAAGAAAATCTAAACTATCTACTTATGATAAATATTGAATTGCTTGTAGAGAATGAAATCAGCTAAAAATATTTGCGTGACTTTCACTTAATCGATTTTGGTTTTTAAACTATATTTTTTTATTATTTTACACATAAAATAGCTTCATTCATTTATTAACTATAATATAAGCAATGATCATTAATGGGTTCACAAGTTTACACAGGCAGTGCCGGCGAGGAAGATATTTAATTTTCTTGTGCCAACATTATCACGTGGCCAATTAAAATTTTGGTTTAATACCTAAACCCTTATTCATTAATTATCCGTATGAAACGGTTTATTTATTACTTTATAAATGATCCCACACTGAACTTTTGTACCCGTATATACCCGAATTAACAAATTACTTACTCTCAAATCAGACACATTGTAAATTAACAGATTTTATTATCCTAGTTCTTGAAGAATTGCTTACATTTTAAAATTATTGATCCAAGAATTCATCTTCTAAAATCATTTGTTACCTCTGCGACTGGTATTTCGGCATCAAGAGACATGATAATATCGTATACAAAAACTATAATGTTACTCAATAAAAATAGAAGATTAATCATTTGTACATGGGGATGGTGTGGAGAGAGGGCTCGAGGGTCTGACAACACGCAGAGATGTCCCATCAACACAACGCCACTTGTCACTGGTGGTGCTACACTCTGAAACTCTTCTAAGATATACCCTATAGCCATCAAGAAGTGTCCGAAATATGGCAAGTATACTGTTATGGCGGACTTTATGCTCAACATTTGAATAGATCATTAGAAGGTGGCATAATATTAACCGTTCCGAAGCGTCCTCTTCGTTCTGAGCTTATGTATTTATTGGACATGTGAATTCTTTTGACAACAAATGAAATGGCTACTTGGGCACCAATACACGCCTTGAACCACTCGTAGGTTGATATTATTGTAAAGGTATGTCCAAATAACTTGCGGTTATTTACGAAGCATGGACGATAATTTTCACAGAACGTTGCTTTCTAAATAGTAGTCTACTTTGATACTCTTTTTCTTGCTTAAAGTAACATTGCGATATCTTTTGAGTTTAAGAGTTACATATTCTTGGGCGATGAGTTTTTCTTTTGCTCCATTATTTCAGTGATAAGTCATATGCTGCCGTTCGTTGTCTTAGATTCCGAAGTTTAAAATTTTGAATTATTACTCATTTTTTCCTCATCGTTACACATATTGTTGTAGCTATAAGTGTATGTTTCTTGTATGTTCAATTTTATTTTTGTGAAGTGACGTGATCAAGTTGAGGTTATGTTAAAAATGTCAAAGTCAGATTGCATAAATAATATTATGTTTGTTTACTCTTTGAATAAAATAGAGGTACTTTAAACAGGAAAATGTACTAATCAGTTTATAAATAAGTATGTAACGTCAAGTAAGTACTTTTAGCTTTAAAATGTGGTAAGTTAGAAACTTACGGAATCAGTGTATTACCTGTTAAATGTTATTTAAATAAAATCTTGTCTTGTCTAAAAGGGGAAAAACAACTCTTAGATAGACATTCATATTAATAAATGCCCAAGAAGCTGAATTTTTAAATGAACGTTAGTTATACCATTGCATTGAAATATGACCCCATGGGTCCCATGTGTGCAAACATTTTTATACAAGGATATTTTTTTGTTTTTTTTTAGCGATATGGTTAGTTTTATAATAAAAATAGGTTTAACAATAAACGTAGATCATGCAATTATCTACAAAAATTGTCCTTACACTTTTTCCCTTAAGATTCACAGTTTCTGAGAAAAAGCGATTCAAAAATTTACTAAAGTTGAATTCACCACAATATGCATGCCTGTGTACATAACGCATAAATGTACATGCTTTAACAATTCTGTACAAAATACAATATCCTTAGATAAATATTACTGAGATGAAATTGTTTTTTGTTTTAAACGGATAATAATAACATCTACACAATATTACAATTGTTGACCGACACAGACTTGTTTATTTTTTTATATGAAAAGACCGTATAAACGTTTAAAAAAGCCGATTCCGAGTCAACGACGCAGTTTTAGCGATACAGTAAAACCCCGTGCCTAGGAGTTTACGACTACGACACTCTGATACTGGCTGTAGAGTATGGCTTCCAGGAGGTCCTGGAGGGTCTAAATGTTGGACCTCATGAGAAAGAAGCCTTGTGGCTCCATAGGAAACGCCAAGGTGCAGTTCCTACTCGTTCGCTTGTTAGAGTGGGGGGAACTGAGGTCGAGGTCGGCCGTCACATTAAATACCTCGGCCTCACCGTGGACAGCCGCTGGATCTTCGAGGAACATTTCGAGCAGATGATCCCATATGAGTAACATATTATAAGGATTGGGCCGATAGGCGGGGCAAGCCCGTGGCTTCCCCGGGATAAGGCGTTACTAGTCGTGGCGTCAATCTGGGGGGGACCTAAAATAACATGGTCCGGGTCCTTCTCGAAGTGGCCTGAGTCCGGCCGTCGTTGTGGTTTTTAGAGGAAACACCACATAGTCCTGGCTCCTACATGCCCAAGGAGCCGGAGATTCGAAGGGATTTTACACCCCGTCAGCAAAAAAAAGGAGTTTACGACAAAATGTTATTGATTTCAAATATCTATTGTGGTATGTGACTATGTAGATTTATGTAGTTTTTTATCTTATTGAAATCATGATCTGCTTGTAGTGAATCGGCTTGACTTAGGGACAACCTGTGGTGAACATTGACCTCTAACTAAAACTGAGGATATGGGGAGGGTTACATTGGCCAGGTCATCGATCTATGAAAATTATTTATCTTTCATGCTGAACAGCATGAAAGATAAATAATTTCCTATGTTTTTTCAATTTATATATGGTAAAGAATAAACAACTCTAGCAGTTCGGCTACTAGGACAGTAAATGCTTAATTTAAAAAAATATTTTTAATAGTCTTCATCAAATTAGGTATTTTATGAAATTGTTATTCATCATTATTTTCGATTTACCCTATTTTAATATATAGGATAAGGAACTCTATTAATATGAATACTATGCCGATAAATTCTTACAGTTAAAATTCAGAATTGTATAATGTTGCTCAAGGAAACATGGTCACATAAAATGAGGGACTGGGTTTCTTTTCAGTTCATATTCTCAGAATTATCATTCAATATTAATATAATAGTCACGCAGACTAATAGTTTTACTTAATTTATGCGTCTATATGACATATTATGGGGAATACAACTTTAGTAAAAAAAATTATTGAATAGGGGGCAAACGAGTAGACCTGATGGAAAGCGACTACTGAAGCCCATGAACGCCTGCAACTCAGGAGTCACAAGCGCGTTGCCAGGAGGAAGGAGTACGCAAGTAAGGTCGTATCGGTTCGGAAATACCGCAGCCTATAAATTGTTCCACAGATTTTTAGTGCAAGGCAAAAAGTGTCTTGAAAAGCGCACAGAAATCGTGAAACTACTTAAAGAAAAAAAGTGTAAGGACAATTTTTGTAGATAATTGCATGATGCATGAGTCATCATAAAACTAACAGTTTCGCTAAAAATCTATAAAACCTATTTTTGTGAACTTTATATATATATATATATATTATAGCTTCCATAAATTTTTTTGCACACACGTGGAATAGATTTTCACAATTTCATTATAATGGTATCCCTTACATTAGTGTAAAAATGTAGCTTTTTGGGAATTTATGCAAGGGTACACCTATTTTTCAGGCTAACTTGACCGGGCTTAACCGACGATACGAACTCTATTGTAATTAGTATACGTAAAATACCCAAAAACTCCTTTGATTATCAGGTTCCTTAAATTTTTAAGTTATGTGTATTTTCTTTTTTATAATAATCAAACACTTTTTTCAATAAGCTTGTTTATTAAGGCAGTATAATAATAATTACTACTCCATTAATGTTTAACTTAAGTAGGATCGCTTTTTGATGAACTAACCAAAGCATAATTCATAACTTTCAATTACAAGTTCTTGAGGTTTGTTTTGAATGTCTTTGATCAATATGTCTCTGATTGGAAATCTGTAAACATTATCACTTTGGACTTCAATCTCCGCATATTCGTAATCTTTTTTTTCTTCGGTATATTTATGAGTGCGATTTGATATGAAGTAGGTGAACGGTGTCCTTTCTGAGGGGAAACGTTCAACCAACAGTTCATTGTACATCGACAGTTGAATATATGATGTAGGATTATCTGTGGAGTGAATATTAGGGGCCAGACTGTGGTACCGCAGTGTTTGTCTAGCATAAGTCGAATATGCTTGAAGCCATTTTATTTGTCGATCTGTTACATTGTACAAGTCCATCATATTTATTTTAACCTCACTTAGCCAAAATGGTTTACTTTTATACGTGTATCCTTCAGGTGATTTATCGGCATCATTTTTCGAAACTGTGCCAATATATAGAAATTTTTCAGATTTTCCTTGGTGTATCAAACAGGTTTCTCTCTTCGCGTTACAGAATACTTCCATGGGTAAGGACGATGGTCCCATTAAACGGTTGTGGTTAATAGCTTTTTCAGGTAAAAACTTGCACGTGAAGCCAAATGCTCCGTTGTCTTCTTCGAAAGAATCCTCATCATTTCCTTCTATGCCATACGTTAATATACTCGGATCGTATGAGCATTTACAATTACCTGGCAAGCCGGGTGCTCCCGGAGGGCCAACCGGGCCTCGAGCACCCTTAGGACCAATTTTTCCCTCTGGACCTGGAGGTCCAATAGGTCCCTCCTTTGACACACCTGGTGGTCCAATGGGACCAGGCAAACCACGATTACCTGGCATTCCAGCATTTCCTGGCAGTCCCCGAGGGCCTGGTAGGCCGGGAATACCTGATGGACCCCTTTTTCCTTCTTGGCCTGGAGGTCCAATAAGCAGCTTTGATTCACTTGGTAGTCCTCTAGGACCAGGAATACCAGGAGGTCCTGTAATTCCAGGAAAACCTCTGTCGCCTTTATCACCTTTAGCGCCAGGACCTCCGAGCAGGTTGTCATCGAAAACTAATCTGCAGGTTTTAAGTTTATTTGTACACGTGTCTTCCGTGGCTGTGGCAGATACATTGTCAAGCACTAAGAACGATACAATTACTGTAAGTCTTAAGAACTTAACGTTCATTGTTCAGCCTTGCTGGTTTAAAACTGAATTGAAATAACAGAACTGTCTACTAATATTTATAGCAGACATCGAATTCTTGTTATTTGCGGCACTTTCCGGTTTGTGGTGAGCTGATTGCCTTTGTTTTATACTTTCCTGTTAATAACTATTGTAATTAAAATGTTTAGCTTATAACAAAGGGTGGCCCAGAAAGACGTATGATTTTAAAAATTATTAGGTTGGAACGGCAGGAGAGAGACGTGCTCGGAAGGAAATTTCATCTATTCATCCACTGATGAATAGATGAAATTTCAGGAATTTTGTCACCAAGAAGCGATTCACATGTTCACATGAGGGCAGCGTGCGTTTTGGAAAAACAAATACTAAAATGTCAATTTAATAAGGTAGTGGATCAGAATAATTCTAGACTCCGAAGATAAATGAGAATAAAGAACCTGAGAAAATCGAGTCTGTTGCGCATATTCTGAATATAACGGATCGAGTTCTGTGCAATAGCTTAACTACGATTATTCAGTTGATTACTAATATCCGCAAATATATGGCTTATGTATATATTTACAGTGCTTTGGTATAGTAGATGTTTACTATTATTTCATCATCATCATTAACAGCCTTTACTATAGTTAAACCGCCGTAAGCTTGGCCCTCCTGATGGTTTGCGGGACGCGGGGCGGGTTATGCGCTCGGCTATACATGACACGTTGTACTAACTCGATATCTTCAGATTTATTTGTTTGAGATTTAATCTACACACGATGTAATAAAAATCGAATTTATTTCCTTGTATTATAATGTCAGTGTATTGTAAGTTTTATGATTAATTGTAAAATTTAATACTGTAAAATAATTTTAATAAAATCATCTTATCTTCATCATGTAAATTATATTCAGATACAATTTAAAAATTAAGTGAAATAATAAATATTCTTTATTAGAACTTTAACAGTCGAACCTCTGTAAGCCGAACTTCAAGTTTTTAAATCTTTTTGTGACGCAGAGTCGGCAGATTATCCATGTTGCAAAATAATACCGTGTGTAGCAGTCTTAAGAAAAATAAAACGTACAGCCATGCTTTCACGTCGGTCACTGCCGGCGGACAGCGACGTACTAGCTAATTGGTTACCAAGCCAAGCTTACGGCGGTTTAACTATAGTCCACTGCTGGACCTCTCCTTAGAAAGGAGGTTTTGGCCTTCTATATCACGCTGGCCAGACGGGTTGGTATAGGCCCTATAATAATATATATAAAAGAGACGGAAAACTTGAAACAAAATCCTATAGTATAGGGTTTTGTTTACCCTATAGTACCCTATAGTATAGTATTGTATAACCCTATAGTATAGTATAGGGCTGTTGTCCTGCGTAGTTTGCTCCCTAGTCGGCTCTTACGACAGCCACGGGATGAATAGGGGTGGTGACATTGTATTCGAGCCTACTTTATACATTTTTTATAATATTTTTTTATCTAAGTTTATTTCTTTTATCACAATGCCATATACTTATTAGTAGGTAATAACGGGTACCTTTTATTTTTAGATATGTATCATTAAATGGATGGAAAAATATTTTTTTAGGCGAGCAAAGCAGCAGGTAAAACCTATTTTACCAAAAATATGTAGTTCTATATATACATCTAGGTACAAACCAGGGAGTAAAGACATGATTGATGGAAAAAACTTGTCATATTTTGATATAAAAGGCTATCGGTTACTTGCTGACAATTTGCATGTCGCCTGTCGAGTTCCCATGGAACATGACACCGTATGAAAGATCGCTCTGCCAATTTCGTTTCTTTTTTTACTTGTGATTTTTTATTCCACAGTTAGGTTAATTTAAGAAGTCTAGCCACTAGCGTATCACACTATATAGCATGTCATCATTAATATTTTAATGCGTGAAATGAATCCTTAGGACCCTTTTTAAGCACAACGAATTCGAAATTTTAAATACTTGAGTTTTATATGTAAGATGAGCAGAAAGCACACTTGAAAATTGAAATTTGCCCATATCTTTTTATCGTGTTGACTTTTTATACACCTAATAGGGACCATAGACCTCAGTATCTGGTATAAATTTCAACTTGCAAGGTCTACCCGTTCCTGAGAGAATCTGTGGTGACATACGGACAGACGGACAGACGGACCGACGGACAGACGGACAAGAAAGTGATCTTATAAGGGTTCATTTTTTACCTTTTGGGGTACAGAACCCTACAAATCTGTTATTTTATAGCTAAAACTTTTCTTCAATATGTGATGAATTAATGCATAACGGCTAGAAAAAGCTACAGGGATTCACTGTAACCACGGTTTACATAGCACGGAAATATTTACAATGACAGTTCAAGTTAAATGCTATAAAAAAAGAAAAGAATAATGTATTTTTTTAAGATGGGAAAAAACCATTGAACTCGCGACACTGTTACCGTTACCGACACCTCTGTATATAAGTATCTACATATATTGGCCTCGTTTATACGAGAGTTGAGTTTGGGTTGAAATACATTGATAATATAAGTATATATAATGTAAACATGTATTGTGTAATCCTGTTTCAATCATTTTTTTTTTATTTTCAAGTTTTCACTTTTGTCGGCACTCCCGGAGTGCCACTGTTTTTTTTTATATTATTAAACAGTTAGAAAATTAAGTAAAACTAAACTTTAAATTATTAATTGGTTTATTTAGATAAGGTGATTATCATGAGACTGATAATCATCACTTTTTGCTTTGGTCCATATTTTAGTTAACTAATTTCAACAAAAAAGGGCTATTATAGTTAATCTATAATATTTAGATATACCTCCTCGGAGTTTTTTGTGCACATTGATGAGTATGTTAAAAATTTATCGCATTTTTTTATACCTGGTTTGAAACTATCGTTATTTTTATAGAAAATTAATTATGTTTTCAAAAAATATAAAAAATATAAATAAAAAAATATAGCCTATGTTACTGTAGCTTTCTATAGGTGAACGAATTTTTTAAATCAGTCTAGTAGCTTCGGAGCCTATACATGATAACAAACAAATTTACAACAGAAAATCAAGTCTTTCCTCTTTATAATATTAGTATAACGTGAGCAGGCGGGGCCCTGGGACCAACTGGCATATCAAGGAAAGAGCGCTGAATAAAATTTTGAATCTACCATATCTTCTAAAGTGTTTATTTGATTCATATAGTGGAAGATACAATTTTAATCTGCATTAAATGGCGAAGCTAACGAAAGTTTTTATTTAGATAAGGATTAATTTTGAACAGTAGAAAACAGATTCGAAAATTACGTAATATTTTCAATAAATATTTTGAACATTGAGTAGTTATTTTAATACTTGTTTGTAGCATTATTGTAGATCTACATTGTCCAGCACATTACTTTACTTTACTTTGTATCTCTGCTGGTTTAGTGAGGCTCCCAGTGGGTAAGATTATTTGCGACCTCTGCTACAATAATCATTATATTTCAGTCAATTTACATAAAACCATTATGAATTATACACCGTAACTTTTCTCAGGAATCACACTATCTATTGGTGAAAACAATTTGTAATACTCGCATGTAAGGAAGTGTTACCGCTTTATGTTATCTACGAGGTCTACAATACGATATTAAAGTATTGCAACATTTTTTGTAACATGCTGTATATGTGTTTTACTTTATCTCACAATGTTGCATTATATTATCCCACACAATGCTGTATTATACGCCAACATAGTATTCTTCAATAAAGACTGACTGCACGGATGGCGTAGTAGTTTAAGCGGTCGCCGCATCATTTCCTACTACGCTGTATGTTGTGGGTTCGATCCCCACATGGGACGATAGTCTGTGTTCCTTGGGTCCGTTTCATGTATGTTTGTAAAGTCCCCCGTGACACAGCTTATATATATATATGTGTATATATATATCTTTATATATCTTTTCATTCAACGTCATAACCCGTACCCCTATTCTTCATGAACAACATTCTTGTTAGCAAGCGAGTTGTAAACCGCACAGGTAGGCAAGTGCAGTCAACGGTAACTCGTTAAAGCGTCATCGAATTTATAATGAGAAATAAAAGTCTTCATGTTAAACGATTATGACCTATTTTTATTTACCAAAAGATAGCTATTCCCTCTCTCCTTTAAGTTGATTTTCTGGTAAGGTAAATGTTCTTTAAGTATGAGCGTATGAATTCAAGGCTTGCTATCTTTATATTTATTCCTTTTATCATTAATATACGAACAATTGACAGGGCTAAAACATATGGTTTAATCAATGATAGTAGATTATGACTTTCATAAGGATATGATGTGACAAAACGTTACTTTGTAAAAAAACATAAGTAATGTTAAAAGTCGGTGCATTAGTAAGACCACAGTTTCAAAAACTGGCGCGCAATGATCTTTTTCGGTAATGCTGTATTTTTCAGACAGAGACCGCTGAACCGGATCGAGAAAAGGTCGATTCCTAGCGTAGAAGACGTCGGTGGTCATATCAGCCGTCGACGGGTCTGAGTTCTGTCAGAGAGTGGGTATCTCTGGTGGCAGATTAGGGCCGACGGTAGGGGCCAGGATGACCGCCGATGTAGTAGTTTTTAGTGGAAACACCACATACTCCTGGCTGCTGCATCACCACGATGGCGTCCCCCGGGAGACGGAGTTTCGAAGGAATTTTCCACGCCGTCACAGAAAAAGACGCCTTACTCTTATGATCGGTATGTTAATTGACAGTTCATTCTGTTACTATTTAGAAATATAAAATATCTTACAAAATTGCTATAGAGGCTAACCCTTTAATGTTAAATATTAATCAATCGTATAGAGTGCTCGTTGACATTGACAGCATCATCTCATCAGTCGATACTTGGCAGTTATTCAAGTTTTCTCTTGCCCTTGTAGATCAATGTCGAGTCTATAATGAGGCGACGACCTTTCGGTGAATAATTTACTAATTTAAATTGAAGGAATCCAGCAAAATCAATAATTTAAAGAAGGGAAAAAAAAAAATTTTTATTTG